TTGTGTTCTGTGCATTTTTTGGTGAAATGTCGATACATCACTTTGAGTTTGGTGTCTTTAATGGTAAAGGAGGTTTTTCAATTTGACAACAAAAATGAAAGGTATTTTGTTTAACAAAAAGTTACTAAAACTATTGATGACTCTTTTTCTAGAAAGTTGACTACTGAAAAAAAGAAGAAGATAATTTGGATGAATTGGCATATACTTCTATCATTTTACATTTGTCTGATGCGGTATTAAGAAATGTTGGTAAATTAAAATTAGCTCAAGAACTTTGGGAAAAATTGGAGGAGCTTTGTGTCTAAATCCACTCCAAACAAACTTTTTCTACTTGAAAGCTTTTTTAGCTTCAAAATCGATTTTTCAAGAGATTTAGACGATAATTTGGATGTCTTCAATAAACTTGTGCAAGATATCACTAATTGTGATGAGAAAGTATCTGAAAAATATAAGGCAATTATTTTGTTAAATGCTACTCCTGACACTTATAGAAAACTAAAAAATACTATTAAATACGGGAGAGATACTTTAACACTTGAAATTGTCATAGACTCGTTAAGAAGTAAAGATATGGAAATGTGAGCGAGAGAGTCAAGAGAAAAAGTGGCGAGTTTCATATAATGAGAGATAAGTCTCAATCTAGGGCTCGTGATAACCAAAGTGGCTACGCATCTGGTAGTAAAAAGAAAAGTGGAAATCTATCTAGGTCAAAAAGTAAAACTAAGGATAGAAAATGCTATGGGTGCGGTGAAATTGGACATTTCATTAAAGACTATTATGTTGAGAAAAACAAACAAACAAACAAAAGGTTCACGATGAAGCAAAGTTGTTACTTTTTCTGATGAATTCTGTGAAGTTTATGTGTTATTAAACTCTGAACCTACTAAAGTAAATCTGACTGTGAAATCACATTTACATGAATAGATACTAGATTCTGGTGCATCGTTTCATGTTTTATCAAATAAAGCCTGGTTTTGAAAATTTGCAAGAATTTTAAAGTGGTTATGCTATTTTGTACAATAATCATGCATATAAAATTGCTGCTATTGGTGATATCATGTTAAAATTTGATAGTGGTTATGCGTTTAAATTACATGGAGTTAGATCCATTCCTGAAATGACTATGAATCTTATTTTGGTAGGAGCATTAGAAACTGATGGTTTTACTAGTAAAATTGGAAACAACATGCTAAGAATGATTAAGGGGACTCTTGTCATATGTAAATGTACTAGAAGAAACGATATTTGTGCAACTGCTGCTGAAATTGTTAAAAATTCATATTCCTTTATAAATTTGACCAACACAGTGACACACAAGTGTTACAATAGATTAGCTCAGATAAGCATTAAAGGATTTAAACTGCTAAATGATAAAAGTGTATTTGAAAAAGACTGTGTGTCTAATATGTTTTATTGTGATCATTGTGTACTTGGTAATCATCATAGGTTATCTTTTTCATCTGGTATGCACAAAACTACTAAAGTTTTGGAATATATTCATACTGATTTCTAGAGGCCTACTACTAATCCTACAACGGGTGATAATAGATATTTTTTGTCCATAATTGACGCTTATTCTCATAGAGTGTGTTTATCTGCTAAAAGATAAAGTTGAAACCTTTAAAAATTTCAAAATATTGAAATTGCAATTTAAAACTCAAATTGGCAAAAAGATAAAATATCTAAGAACTGATAATGGCCTAAAATTTTGTAATAAAGATTTTGATGATTTGTGTGAAAAATGTGGAATTATTAGACATATAATTGTTCCTTATACACCTCAACAGAACGGGGTGGCTAAACGTATAAATCGTACTGAGTTCTGGTATTCCTAAATCTTTTTGGGGTGAAGCTGTAATGACTGCGTGTTACCTAATTAATTTACACCTTCTACTGCATTAAATGGTGATACTCCACATGAAAAATGGTATGGTAAATGTGCTGACTATTCTGTGTTAAAAACTTCTGACCGTGTTGCTTTCTCTCACCAAAATGAAGGAAAAATAGATCCCAGAGCTAGGAAATGTGTTTTCTTAGGATATCCTGAAGGAGTAAAAAGGTTAGGCTTTGGGATAGAAGTCAAACTAGAGTTAAGATCATCATAAGTCATGATGTTATATTTAATGAATCTGAAATGCCGTGTCTAAAATCAGAAAGTGACACCTTGAGAGAAAAACAGCAAGAAAACACTAGTGACGAATCCCAAGTAGATTTAAGGCCTTTAAGTGTTCAAACCCCCACCACCTCAATTGAGGTGGAGCATAAAAAATCCTGAATTAGAAGATAATTGAAAGAGATGAGATTATAGAGAAATATCAAGGAGCGCAAAACCCTTTGTCTGATTACTAGTTAGCTAGATACAGAGTTAGAAGAACATATATGGTGCCTCAAAGGTTAGAGTCTGATTTTGAACTTACTTATGCTGGTTATAATGAACTAATTGATAGGGAACCAAACACGTATGAAGAAGTCTTGAGAAGTGAACAATATGAGGATTGGGTGAAAGCGGTGAAAGAAGAGATAAATTTCCTCGATAAGAATCAAATATGGGAATTAGTCCCAAGACCTAAAGACAGGTCTATTATTGGATGTAAATGAGTTTTTAGAATTAAGGAGGGAATCACCAATGAGAGGCTTTAAGATTTAAGGCTAGACTTGTAGCCAAAGGTTACGCACAAAAGAAATGGATAGATTATAATGAAATCTTTTCTCCAGTTGTTAAGTATACCGCAATTAGGACTATGTTTGCATTAGTTGCGCATTTTAATTGGGAACTTGAACAACTTGATGTTAAAATTGTTTTTCTGCATGGAGAACTTGATGAAAAGATTTTTATGGATCAACCTAAGGGTTTTGAAAATAAACAAAAACCTGATCATGTGTGTTTTTTTAAACGCTCTATTTATGGTCTAAAACAATCTTCTAAACAATGGTACAAACGTTTTGATTCGTTTGTTCAAATAGTTGAATTTAAAAGAAGTGAATTTGATCATTGCTTATACTATCAAGTTAATGCAAATAATAATAACTACGTGTTTTTGTTGCTATACGTGGACGATATACTTTTAATTGGTCCCAACTTGAGGTTTAAATGATATAAAAACTATTTTGAGTAATGAATTTGATATGAAAGACCTAGGTAATGCTAAAAGAATCTTAGGCATGGAAATTCAAAGATATGAGTCTAATTCAATTTTATTTTTGCATCAGACTCCATATATCATGAAAATCTTGAAAAATTTTGGCATGAATGAATGCAAACTTGTTACTTGCATTTAGCTAATCATTTTGTATTATCTAAGAACAATCACCTAGTAATGAAGAGGAAGAGGAATATATAAAAAGGATTTCATATACAAATGTCATTGGTTCTGTGATGTATCTAATGGTGTGTACTAGACCTGATTTAGCCTTTGCTATTAGTACACTTAGCAGATATATGTCCAACCTTGGTCCTAAACATTGGGAAGCTTTGAAATAGCTGTTTAGATATTTAAAAGGAACATGCAATACTAGCTTGATATATAATTTTAGTACTGAAAGAATAAAATTGAAAGTTTTTACTGATACTAATTATGCTGGTGATAGAGATAATAGAAAATCTACATCTTCCTACTTATTTTGGAGATAATTTGAAAAAGAGATTCCTATCACTTTTCTCATAGGAAGATAGATATGATTGCACTATCGTGATCTTTGTAACAAGTTTCAGTTTTTCTTGAATTTTATCTTCCCAAAAATCTAGGAAAATTTGTTGGTCGTTTTGCCTATAAATTGGAGGCTCTTGACCTCATTTTAAACACACCAAAAACCAGCTCCTTTCTTAGTGAACAAAAACCAGCTCCTTCCTACTTTGTGCAGTCTACCTTCCTGTTTCTACCTTCTAGCTTCTTGCCTTTGTGTGTGCCTCTGTCTCTGTGATTAAAGTCTCCAATTTGGTGATACATTTATAATGTTGAATTGATTTTTTTTTAGCAGAATTAAAACGGGAATTCATTGTTCTATAATTCTTCTTTCTGGTTTTTGATTTCCTTTCCACACTTTTTTTTTTTTTTTTTTCAAATTCCATAACTAGCTAAATGATTTGTTCAATTGTAGGTGGAATTAGAATCAACACTATACTTACATGCCAAAAAATAAACCCATATCCTAAAATTACCTTTCTCCAGGAAAAATAATAATCAGCAATTGATATTAGAAACAGAGGATTATTTGTAATTTCCCATAATTTCTATAAGAGAGGACACAAGGTTTTTTTAAGAGCACTTTGCAGTCAACCCTACATTTTTTTGGGGACAAAAAGAAGTATACCTTTTTTCCATGCAAAAAAATAAAAATAAAAATAAAAAAATAAAATGTAGGGTGTATAGATTCATCAGTTAGAAATTCCAATGAATTAAACGGTAGGTTGTTCTCAAGCTCAAAACACCATGTCATGTTAGGCACGCTCGACTGTATCCTTCTAATACACTATACAAAAGATGCCTTTTAATTTGTTTATAAGCTCAGGACTCACCAAATGTAACCACTGAACAAGTATGGGACGAGATCAAGCAAATCAAGTGTGTAAATACATTTACTACAGAAGACATAAGAATCTAGATTGGCCAATTAACAACTCAACATCTTGTGAATCCAATCCAATCCAATGATAAGACGGCTGATGAAAACAATGTAGAGACACCCACCACGCATGTTTGAAGTTAGGCTGCAAGTTAGTCTCAAACAATCAATATCACCAAATAGGGTGTGAAAACAAGAGAGAATGGAATTCACTTGTTAAGGATTTTTTGGTAGGAAAGTGTGGAGGAGAAAAGCTTGTATGATAACCTTCCCAAAGGATGAGTATATGAACAAAGACTAACAAGATGATTCACGTCATATTTGAGAGATTCTATTGGTGCTAAGTTCCCCTTTTCAAAACTCGTTAACATTATGACCCAGCGCGTAAGAAAACCTACTTTGGTTGTCAATTCATCAAGAAAATCAGGAAAATACAAGAAACTATCAAACTCCTGGCAACATTATATATTAGAGAGACAAATAGTTGACACCAGAGAGAAAATCAAAGATTTTACCCCAATTTATTATTCAAACTAAATGTGAAATGCACAAGCATTACAAGCAAGTCCTGAATCGATTCCTGGAGAAGGTGACATTAGCTCTCACTCTTAATATGCACAACATATGCACTTTGCTTTAAGAGGTACGATTAGAAAAACCTCGACCACGGCCCCTACCAATGTAGCCACCATATCCACCGCTGCCCCTGCCACCATATCCACCGCCACCGCCACCGCCACCATAACCCCCTCTTCCATAGTAAGAGCCTCGGAACCGACCACCACCACCTCCACGAGGACCACGACCTCCTCGGCCACCACGATACCTTGAGAAATCTCCAAATGTCTGCATCAATACATACATCTTAGCCAACTAATGGAATACTAGCATATGGGAAAATCAACACCAAAATGAGCATACCTCTGTATCTAACTTCATTTGCTCTGAATACCGAGTCCTTCCATGATTTGATTCGTTGTCAAGGGCATTAGAAGAAAACGAGTCAAAAAAGTCGTCCTTCTTGTAAACAGACTACAAAAAAAAAAAAAAAATATGTTGGTGGTAAAGAGATGTGAAGACTGAAGAAATCATAGCATAAGAAAGCATTCACAATTTAAAATTTTACCTTGTTATCAATCTTTGGCAGTTCAGAATCATCTTCATCATTTGAATCATCATCTTCATTGCCGCCATTTTCATTCCCTTCCTTAGTCTGGGATCTGTTACTTTTACCCAGATGACCCCATACTTCATCCTTATTGAATTTTTCATTCATTGCCATAAAATCGAAATCTTCTGTAAATTTTGTCACACGGTGGGAAACCTACAAGGTCAATGATCGATGTCCAAATCAGGGGCTCCAGTTATTAGTCAAACAGCATGTAAGCGAAGCATTAATAATTTGAAAGTTCATTGAGATATGTATATGAAATTCATCATATACTAAACAATTAGAACTTCAACAAAGTCTGTTGACTGAAACTCGTAATCTCACACATCAAAATTGGTACAATTATTTATTTTATATCACTTAAAGCAGGAATTAGCTTAATTTACATTTCTCAACTATTTAATGACTCTAAAATTAGATCAGCAAGTAATGACACTATTCCTTGGGTGAAGTTATACCATCTTCTTCTCCTTTTTAAAGATGACACTTAACTTAATGCACTTACTTTCAAGTTTTCTCTTCATAGTTTAGAACAATAATATATATGAGAGGAACGTGTTAGCACAGGTATTTGCAATTAATTCTGTACTTTTAAGTGTAAGAATGCCACAAATTCTACACAGATTTTACGGGCATGCTTGTGGAGGCATTGAAAGCCATTTATATTTATTTCATATTCATCTTTAACTGTTAAAGAGTATCAAAATACAACTCTCTTTAGATTTTCCAAAGGCATGCATGTGGAGGCATTGAAAGCCATTTCTATTTGTTTTATATTGAAGTGTACCTCCAAAAGGATTCGTGCTTTGAATTTTCTCATTAAGGCAGACTTAATTTAATGATGTGAAACAGTGGGATACTTAGAACAACAATCAACCCCTTCAGCCTGCAGCCTGCTTAATGAGTAGGCGTAGTAACACACGAGGTTAGAAAATAATTGTCAGCAGAATCCCATCAATGATTTGGACCTTATGTTCGATAAGCAAAAAAATATTTGCCATTAGACATCTTACAACTTTATCGGAAAGGATTGACGAGGGTCGGTTCAGCAATTCATTGAAAAAAAGTGGCAACATACATTTTGAGAATACAAATTCAACGAAGTAGTGATGAAGCATATGGCTATAGCAACCACAACATAACTAAGAGAGACATGAAAGTAGTCTATAAAGGCTACAGAGAATAATGAAGTGCGTATTGAATAAATTGAACAAATCTGAGATTAAATATAGTGAATTGAGTTCTTACCCCAGTTCCTCTTCCCCCACGCCCTCTGTAATTATAACGAGCGTAATAACCAGCTCCATTTGGCTAAAGGACATCAGAAAAATACAATATTAGCTTCTAAAGCACCTTCCATCCGATAGTGCATTCAAAAACCGTAACTTAAGAAGGTTTACACTCAACACGTGGAAAAAGAATTAGTCATCCAAATTCAAATATATTGATCACGATGTCATGGAAACATCTGTTTGTAGATTTACCACAAGCAAATAAACAAATGCGGTATTGATTAAAAGAGGTGCGTCACATCTTGCAGCGTCTAAGTGACCAAACAACTTCAGAATATCTCGTCCATGAAGCAAACACGAAAAATACAGCATATCATTTTTATTTAATGGCTGCATAGCACAGGTGATCATATGTTTTTATTTCCTAGCTAGCAGAATGTGATCGTGTTTAAGGAAAAGAAAAGATTCATGTAAACAAGTTACTGTACTAATATGAAAGGGGAAAAAAAATAGCAATCACTCGTGTGACCAGTGA